GTGATTGTGAGACTATCATTTGAAAGAAACCTGGAAGCCGTCAAGTTCTGGTATGGGACTCATCAGTAGTGCACATTCATGACTGCAGAAACTCGCAGGATCCGAACTCGGGACCTTTGATCTTGCGCACGAACGCTTAACTTCTAGACCACTGAGCTAGTTGCATCCAGGAGTGTCAGTGTCTCATTCTGATCAGCCTCAAGGTTTCTTGCGCAACCTCACCTATTATCTTTGGTAGGTGACTGCCTACACCCAACAAGGCTGAACTCCACTGATCACAGATTCTTAATAGAAAACCGAAAATTTCTTGATGAAGCTAGTCACCAGTGAACATATTGTTTCTAGGTTTTGCAATATAGTATTACAGCTCGGTGGTCTAGAGGTTAAGGGTTCGCATGCCAGACCGAAGGTCCTAGGTTCAAATCCTGCGGGTTGTTGCAGTCGTGAATGCGCACTTCTGATGAGTCCCTTAACAGAACTTGACAGCCTTCCAGTGCTTCCAGATTTATTCTAATAGTGATCTAACAATGGTTTATTGATGATTTCAATTCTGTATTTATCTTCAGTTTATATTATTACTATTAGAAACGTTGAAAAATGTGAGTCAATCGATTTCTATCGATTAGCTTATTTGTATTAAGAGTTTTAATACACCTAAAGTTTGTGTGAACACACAATTCAGTTGTTAGAAACGATGATAATATACCTTGTGTGGTTTGAATCACGAAATGATCCAAGGTAGAACGACATCAGAAATGAGGATACAGTGAACTGCCCCTAAGAAACAGTGCGCATCTACGACCTATGCACATGAGAATCGGATCCTGGACCTTTGGTCTCATGCGCAAACGTCTTACCTCTAGATTAGACCAATTCATGATATCAGCTATGAAAATAATACAACCTCCACAATTTCCCTTCATTCACAAAATAACTGTCTGTGTTTTCTGCTAATTTTCAAAATGTCGTTCAGTAAATTTAAGTATATGACGAAAAGTATTTCTATGACATTTCACAAGGTTTATGTAATCGTTTCTGGATATTTAACTCCATTATTGGGTTCGTAAATTCCAATAGGACACATTTTGCGGAAAGCACCTAAATGCGTCTCAAGACAAGCCCTCACTTGGTAGCCTCAGGTTCAAAGGAAAAGATGAAGGCCAAGGAACACATTACGCCAAGAAATGGATACAGAGATGAGAAGAATGAACAAACACTGGACTGAACTAGGAAGGAAGGCTTAGGATAGAGTAGGTTAGAGAATACTAGTCGGCGGCCTATGCTCGATTTTGGGGTAACAGGGGTAAGTAAGTAAGTGCAAAAGTAAGCAAGTAAGTAAGTAAGCAATTAAGTGAGTAAGTAAGTAAGTAGGTATGTAAGTAGGTATGTAAGTAAGTAAGTAAGTAAGTAAGCAAGTAATTAATTAAGTAAGTAAGTAGGTAAAGTAAGTATTACGTTTGTAAATTCCTAATAGGGAAACCTCCGGATTACTAATCTCATAACCATATAAAGAAATGACTAACGAGTCTAAACAAGTTAATTTTTCAATTAGAAAAAGATACGAGAATTAAAATTATTCAACTTACTACATTTCGAAGGAATTTCATCGTAACCATCTTCACAATCAACTACTCCATCACAAAATCTTGTCTCTTCTAAGCATTCTTGTGAACCACATGGTCGAAAGCCTGGTGCACAGACTTCTTGTACATACAATTTTGCATAACCTTTGCTATACTTTAAAAGTTTACACAAAATCAATACGGTTAAAGTAGGATAGTTGTTAAATAGTTTCGGTATTTTACGAAAGTAATTTATTTTGAAAATATCGTATTATACAAGACCGGTGGTGTGAGACAAGGTTGCTTTCTCTCACCCCTTCTCTTTCTCCTGGTCATCAATACGGAACTCTTATGATGGATTCAACTGCAAAATCGTGCACGGAGGACAGCTAACCGACTCTTTCGAGGTGAAGACCGGTGTCAGGCAAGGTTGCTTACTCTCACCCTTTCTCTTTCTCCTGGTCATCGACTGGATTATGAAGACGTCAACATCTGGAGGGAAGCACGGTATCAACTGGACAGTTAGGACGCAGCTGGACGATCTGGACATCGCAGATGACTTGGCTCTTCTATCGCACACGCAACAACAAATGCAAGAGGAGACGACCAGTGTAGCAGCAGCCTCTGCAGCAGTAGGTCTCAACATACATAAAGGAAAAGCAAAATTTTACGATGCAGCACAATATGAGCCAACCAAATCACACTTGATGGAGATGCCTTGGAGGATGTTGACACCTTTACATATCTGGGCAGCATCATCGAACAGAAAGGTGGATTATCCACAAGATACAAGTGTTTATTAACAGTTATCTACGCAAACTACTTCAGATTCGTTGACCAGACACCATCAGCAACAACGAACTGCGGAGAGAATAAACCAGATTCCAATGGAGGAGGAAATCAGGAAGAAGCAGTGGAAATGTATGAGACACGCGCTGCGAAAAGCACCTAACTGCGTCACGAGACAAGCCCTCACTCGGAACCCTCAAGGTCAAAGGAAAGGGAGAAAGCCAAAGAACACATTACGCCGAGAAATAGAGAAAGATATGAGAGGAATGAACAAAAATTGGACATAACTGGAGAGGGAAGCCCAGGACAGAGTTGGTTGGAGAAAATTGATGAGCGGCCTATTCTCAATTGGGGATAACAGGCGTAAGTAAGTAAGTAAGTAATAGTATTATACGTGTTTAACAAATATAAACAGAATAATTATTGGCATGAAATCGAACGATTATGCCTGCTGTAGGTGTAGGCTGGAAGAAAATTTGTGGCAACCAGACCGGAAACATGGTTCAAAATTCATGAAGTCATTGACAAGTGAACTGAGCCTTGCTGGTAGGTGTGGATTATCTGGTAACTGTTGGTTAGAGACCTTGAATGACATGGCTGAATTTCAGTTGCAGTGGCCTGGGTGCATCCACTCTTTGTGTTCGCTCAAATTCTAATCTTCTAAATTCTTCATCACCTTTATCTTTCTCTTTTTTTAAGTTTATTTCAATGGATTCTTGTTCTTCATTAATATCTTCGAACCCTAGTCCATTCCATTACCACTAAGACTCCTACTACGTCTAAGGACTTTGAATTGACAATTTGTTGGGGACGTTAGATACCCAGAACTCATTTGATAAAGGTTTTATTAACGGATTTTTTATGTTTTCGCGCATAGGCTGCTCTGTTGACCTTGAGACTACATTTACCACCTAGAAAATCCTTGACTGTCACTGGCTGATGGATTATTTCGGTACGCTATTTTGTGGCTCTCACAAGAACGTTTTTATCATGTATAAATAAACTCGATTTGTGTGCTTGTCAACACTTTCTATGCCATATCAAGTCTTCTTCGTCTACTTAGTGGGACGTTGGGACGCTCGGATTAGCGTAGCCTATCATGTTACTGGATCATTTGTCTTCACTGTCGTTTACCAACTAAGGTAAACTCGTAATAGCATTCGAGCCGATCAACTGTATGTACATAGGTACATAGGTAGTACATAGGTAGTCCCACGTTGCAGCTGACCGACTGGTGTGAAATTACCAATCATGTGCTGAAATTAGTCTGTCTGTTTAATGACTATGTTATATTCATACATAAATTTTAAAACGAAAGCAGAAAACTAGTAAACCGATTAATTTTGAAATAAAACTAGTTAGATTTTATTTAAGTTCCAAATTCAGTTGTAAAATACTTAACTCGTCTTTTTGGATACTCAACTCAACTCGAAAACCGTTATCCATCATACATTGACTGAAGAAATAACCATTTTTATGCATTTAGAATATACTAACTTTAGTAATTGCTCAAAGCATTAGTGTTTACACCCAGATAAATGAGGAGGGTTATGCATTAGGTTAGTACCCTCCGTCTCATAAGCAAATAACTCGTTAAAAAACGCTAACCAGAAACATTTCGCTGGCCAGCGACCTATGCTTCCTTTAGGGGTAATAGGCGTAAATTAGTAAATTAAGTAATATATACATTATTTAATAAGAAAAAACGTGCTACTTACACCATCTGTACACATATAAGACACGTTATGATCAAATCGACCGACATCTTTAACAACTAATAAAGCTCTACCACCATTCGTTCCTATCACTTCTTCTTTACCAGGACGTAAATCTTGACGATCTGTACGCATCCAGAATACTTTACCGCCTTGCTTACCGGTAACTGTAGATAATTCACATAGAAATTGTACAGTTGTTCCAGGACGTGCTTTAACTTCTTCAGGTGTTACAGTCAAATCTAAAATATGAAAAACAATTTAAAATTATATAGTTAGTCGTAATACAAGTATTTATTAAGAGTTAACTAGGCAAAATACTGCTGATCCGTTGGCCAGACACTTTCAGCAACAGTCTACTGTTGGAGAGAAAAAACCAGATTCCAGCGGAGGAGGAAATCAGAAAGGAGAACTGGAAGCACTTTCCTGTATCACAAGACAAGCCCTCACATGGAAACCTCAAGGTCAAATGAAAAGAGGAAGACCATGGAACACATTACGCCGAGAGCTAGAAAGGAGACAGACTTGAGACGAATGAACAAACATTGGACGGAACTAGAAAGTGAAGCCCAGGACAGGGTAGGTTGGAGAATGGTGGTCATTGGCCTATTCTCGACTGAGTGTAACAGAAGTAAGTAAGTACGTAATAAACTTTGAATAAATAAAATCTTATCAAGATTTACAAAAATTTATTAAACTCGCTGATGTTCATTACTAATATTCTGTTCAAATAGTGGTCCAAAGTTAACAATAATTCAAGCCGAAAACGGAATCATCCATTGGGTGTATATGTATGTATCTCAGAACTGATATTCACTCCAGAACTCGAACTCGCCACTGAATTATCCACTTAACTACTGACAGTGAATTTGATGCCCATGTATTCATCAAAACAGATAGAATTTCAGTCAAAAATAGCAATAATGAAATGAAACGTAGCATTGGATTATAACAGTAATCGGGAAGCACTGGACAGCCGTTTCGTCCTGGTATGGGACTCATCAGAAGTGCGCATTCACGACTCCTACATCTTGCGGGATTCGAACCCAGGGCTTTTGGTCTTGTGTAACTTAACAGTCTTCACAACCCTGTTATTCAATTACCTATGCTCACTAGTGACTAGCTCCGTGAGGAATCTTCTCCCAGTTCTAGTGGGAAGTCGTGACCAGTGAAGTTCAACTTGTTCGGGTGTAGAAAGTAACGACTGAAGACAGCGAATGAGGTTGCGCAAGACCGTGAATTGATCGAAATTAGACATTAATAACGTTAGATGCCACCGGCTCAGTGTTCCAGAGGTTAGACGTTCGCGCGCAAGATCGAGGGTCCTGGGTTCGAATCCTGCGAGGTGAAGGAGTCGTGGATGCGCACTGCCGTTGAGTCCCATACCAGGATGAAAAGGTCGTCTCTCAGTGCTTCCAAGTTTCTGATTGTGGTCGAACATTGATCGATTCATGATTTCAAATGTGTAACTTAACAATCTTCACAACCCTATAATATAATAGTAATGTCGATTACATTACAGATTACATTACACTCTGTAAGTTATGACTGTTTAAAGTTTGCACTTGGTATTATCACTGTGTAGTGAGTATACTTTTACGTCGAGTCCACAGGGCTTTCCCATGCCCTCAAACGAAATAACTAATCCATTATGCCAGAGTTATGTTTCGCTCATTTTTGAACCTTATCGACCAGTAGCTTTTATCTTACTTGTTTCTGTCCGAGGATGTGTGTGCACGCTTACTTCGCTTATTACATGTTTAGTTTAATTTAGTCTGATCATGAACGCTTAGTCATGCTTCATTGTATACAGTTGGCTCGTTCGCCTTCTCCACTTCGTTTCGTTCTATTTGTATGCTTTTCATTATCATATCTGTCTACATAAACCGTCGCCTTAAATAAACTCATCCAACCAAATCCGTATTTTGCCTTCTGATTACTGCTGTCGCACAAACGGGGTTCGCCTAAGTACGGGAACTCCATCACCGTCATCCACCTGAGCTACAAATTTTCTCCATCATCTCAAAATATAATATACGGAAATTTAATGGTACATTTATTTCATCGTTAACACATCTACATATCTGGGCAGCATGATCGACAATCAAGGTGGATCCAATGCAGATGTGAGGGCGCCGATCGACAAAGCAAGGGCTGCATTTATACAATTGGAAAATATATGGAACTCCAAACAACTTCCAACCAAAACTAAAATCAGAATTTTCAATACAAATGTGAAGACAGTTCTGCTGTATGGAGCGGAAACTTGGAGAACTACCAAAGCCATCATCCACAAGATACAAGTATTTATGAATAGTTGTCTACGCAAAATACTTCGGATTCGTTGGCCAGACACGATCAGCAACAACGTACTGTGGGAGAGAACAACCCAGATTCCTTCAGTGGAGGAGGAAATCAGGAAGAAGCGGTGGAAGTGGATAAGAAAACACACGCTACGACAAGCACCTAACTGCGTCACGAGACAAGCCCTCACATGGAACCCCCAGGGCAAAAGGAAAAGAGGAAAGCCAAGGAACACACTACGCCGAGAAATAGAGAAAGATATGTGAGGAATGAAGGGAAACTGGAAATAACTAGAAAGGGGAGCTCAGGACCGAGTTGGTTGGAGGAAACTGGTCGGCGGTCTATGCTCCATTGGGGGTAACAGGCGTAAGTAAGTAAGTTACTCGATCATTCATAAATATTGGAGTCAGATCGCGGGCTACTCAAATGATGAGCTTTACTTCGAATTCACCTCAGCCAGTAAAGTAGTAAACCCGATATCGAATCTAACGCAGCCACTAAAACTGCTGTTGGACACTTGTATATTATTTTTTTTAAAATATAAGCTCATAAATGAATGTTTTAACAATCCAGTATATCAACTTAAAGGTACGTGTAAATCATTTATAGTTGAGTAGCCGTACCCCTCTGTGGTTACTGCTGATCCCAAGTCCGGACAAAGGCAGAGGGTCGAGTGTCGGATTAGCCAAACACATCCCTTAGAAAACTAACTCGTTAAAAAAGAAATGCTAACCATAAAAAGTATTTCGAACCATTTAAACCATACCCTGGGAGTTTTTTATGTATGTACATATATACATATATAAGTGAACAGAAAATATCCCGTTAATTGGTCTAATTCAGTAAAAATAAAGATTCAAAATCAATTGTTTCCAATAAGTTTTTCGATAAATAGATGAACATGTAGCAAGGAATGTTATTACATAGTTGAGGAAGACCGAAAAAATACACATTACCCCGAGAAATGGAAACAGATATGAGAAGAATGAATAACACCCAGATAGAACTAGAAAAGAAGACCCAGGACAGAGTAGGTTGGAGAATGTTGGCCGGCAGTGGCCTATGCTTCATGAGGGGTAACAAACGAAAGAAATTAAGCAAGTAAGTATTTGTTAGGATATTCATCAAATATCTTATAGAAATTGTTTTGTAAGTCTAATTCTATTGGTCAATATTTAAGGTCGTCCGAAACTATCTAGTTCACATAATTTTAAATGTTCTTTCCTATTGGTTAGTATTCAGGGTCGACCGAACTGTATAAATATACATGATCTGTAAAGTTTTATGCTACTCTTCTTCTGTACAAAACCTCAAATTTTCTGGGTGCTTGTAGATTACATTTTCTACGACGTTTTCATACCGTTGGTGGGGAGCTTGGGATGCTCGGATTAGAGTAGCCTATCGTGTCAGTGGATCACTTGTCTTAGATCTCATTTACCGATTAAGATGAACTCGTAATAGCATTCAAGCATATCAATTGACGAGCATATCAGTATTTCCGATGATTACCCAACAATTCGAACTCAACACTATTCGCTTCAAACGTAAAATCGTCTGGCATGTCTCTAGGTAGCCATAAGACTATCCAATAATTAATAATTTGATTTATAAGTGTTGGTATTTCCCTTTTGTCAATGGTAACAACTGAAACTGATCAGTCTTGTACAGAAGTTGATAATTCGTTAGTTAGAGAGAAAATCAACCAGTCAATCAATCAATAAAAATATTTGTTAACTAACCTCTTGTTTTTACAATCAGCTTCGCTGTATCTTTCAAATTCAACGCTCTACACACATAAACACCTTCATGATATTTTTGAACATTCAGTATGCTTAAAAATGATGTGTGTGGAGTTGCGGAAGGATTATCAATCTTGACATCAGGATGCAGTGGAATTTCTTGTGTACCGCCTTCCGGTATAAAATACCAATCGATCAATTGATTCCCATTTTCTGTTCCATCTAATCGACAATGAAATTCCGCGATATCATTCACATTTGCCCATAGTTCCTCTTCTTTTGGTAGAACGCTTAGAGATGCAATAGCTGAATAAATTATAAAAAGTAGTATTTTTAAGTAGTATAGCACAATTGTCAAAAAAATAACTTACACAGCTTGGTGAATATTAATTCAAGTGTCTGTCTTTTCTTACAAAGTAAACATTTCTTACCATCCTAGATGGCGATCGACTAGTAGTTTAGCCAATAAAATTCATCAAAATGATGAATGGACAATATCAGAAAAACCTAAAGAGTTTACAACATTCTGTAATTTCATCTAAGTGAAACGGGTCTACATTTCTTTGGTTACATCGCATTCTTTGTGTTCTCTCACATTCTAATCTTTTGAATTTCTACTGACCGTTTTAACGCTTCTCTTTTTAAGTTCATTTCAATGGATTACACTTTCTGAATATTGAATTCAAGAATCAATCATTGTTAGACATCCGTTCGAAACCTGGAAGCACTGAAAGACGGCCGTTTTCCTCTGGTACGGAACTCATAAGTGGCAGTACGCTCCTGCTACACGCAGGATTCGAACCCCATCGGTCTTGCGCGAGAACGGCCAAACTCCAAGCAACTGAACCGGTGGCATCCACCAGTTTTAATGTCTAACTTTGATCAATCTAAGGATTCTTGCTCAACCTTATCCCTTGTCTTTGGTGTAGGTAGCTGCCTACAGCCAACAGGATTAAATCACTTTAGCAGTCTCTCCAACTTCAATATCTTGGCTCGTCAAGTTTATCTGAGATTCCAAAAACAATGATAAGTATTCTCTATTAGCTATGGTAATTTACTGTATATTTTTACGACACATATACCATCCAAACTGCTTGTGTTACATCGAGCTTATGGTAATTCTATGAAACTTCTAAATGTATGATTTAACACTGTTGGATGCCAATGACGGCTTAGTGTTCCATAGGTTAAGCGTTCGCTCCTGACCGAAGGTTCTCAGTTTGAAAACCCGCGACCACCGGTCGTGGATGTGGACTGCCACTGATGAGTCTCATACTAGGATGAAACAGCTGTCCAATGCTCTCAGGTTTCTAATAGTAATATAACAAGGATCGATTCATGTATATACATACATATAGATAAACACACCTGTTTCGTTCAGTAATAAAAAATTTACATTTTACAAAAACAACTATTTTGTTCATGCAATCAACATACTATTTTCATTCCTTAATTTCTTAAAACAATCTAATTACCTTTTTAAATTAAAATGTTACAATGCATGTGTTCATTTTAAAAAAAATGTTTTTGAAAAGCAACTGGATTTATGACTTTTTTTAATGGGAAATTTTTTAATTCTGAATAAACTACTGATCGTTAAGATTGTAGGCGAATAAGTTTACAAGTAGTTTGTGAAATAACATTGTGTGTAAAAACGCAAACCTTCAAAACTGTGCCCCAAAATATCGTAACAGAGCTCACTAGTCACTAGCTTCGTGAGAAAATTCTAGGAGTTCTAGTTGAGAAGACGTGACCAATGGAGTTCATAACCCTGTCGGGTGTAGGCAGCAACTACCAAAGACAATCAAGGGTGAGGTCTCGCAAAATTCCTAGATCAATCAGAGTTAGAGATTAACACCGTTGGATGTCGGCCCAGTGGTCCGATGGTAAGGCGTTCGCCTACAATACTAAAGGTCCCGGGTTCGAATCCTGCGAGGAGCAGGAGTCGTGGATGCTCGCTGCTGATGTGATGAGTCCCATACCAGGACGAAACGGCCGTGCTTCAGTGCTTCCAGGTTTCTTCTAATGGTGGTCTAACAATGATTGATTGATGATTTCAAATGTGTAAAAACCTCTAAAACTGTGCCCCAAAATAACATTGTAATTAAGTTTGTGGTGTTTTTATTTCAGAAAAAAAGATCAGGTTTCTACAAATGAATCAGTTAGATTTACACTTTTTTGATGAAAATCACTTAGAACAACACAGATATAAGCGAACAGTGGTGTTGTTTTCGATTAGATCGTCATCAGTCTGCTTTACTCTCTCTAATGTACATGAATATATTTATATATGAAAATGTTAAACCAATCAAGGCAATTTATGAGTCAATAATCACAATGAAATGAAACAAAGATTAAGTCTCCATACACATAATAGGCAAAAGTACAAGTTGATAGTAGTGTGGTGTGTGCTACTTATACGAACGATATAAGTAGTATAAGAAGGGACGTGAAAGAAGAAGAATTCGCACGGTCAGAAGAGGAAAACGGAAAGCAAATGGAGCAAAAGCAAGAAGTAAATGGAGTAGTACCAACAGAGGAAGGAAAGGAAGCAACAACAGGAATGGAAGAAGGATGGAGTGTTGGAAGTCACGACTCAAAGATGTTGTGCAAATAGAGTATTCAATGTAATGTTTTCGTTTTTTTAATTGACTCAGAGTGTAAATTTGCATAATACGACCTTCCTCGCCTGCCTCAGTCTTCTCAGTTTGAGGAAGACAGAGGTGTACTGATAGTAGTAAGAAAATTATAAAATACGATGCCATAAGTTTTATCAATTTTAGGTCAAAGGTGGATGAATAGACTTCAAATAATCAATAAAAACATCAAAACGATTACGTAATAAGCAAATGTGTAAAAATAAAATAAGATAAAAAATATATAATGTCAATCGCTATTTACGTCATGTCCGGCCACGGAAGAGATAGGAGTGTCACGATTTTCTTCAAAAACACATAAATTGGGGTTGAATGTACGTATTCCTATGGCTTCTGCAATGTGTAGGAGACGGGATCGAACTCCGTTGGGAAATGATGGAGGTATACGATAGATCACTCGAAAAGATCTAAACTTATTTACAGTGTGACCACTATCAACCAGGTGTGCTAAGACCGAACTGCGTATTATTTTTGACTGACCCTTCTTAAACCATGCTAGGAGATGTTCACTCATACGTTGTGTAAGTTGCCTGTAAGTACGTCCGATATAGCTATCTCCACAGAAGCAGCTGAATTTGTAAATGCACATAGAGGCCAATTCAGTTAACTTATCCTTCGTTTGGGTAGATATCGCTGGTCGACAGGAGAATGTCAATGCAAGTTTGGCAGCGTTGAATGTTCTATTAATTACTCTTATTAATCTGTCCTGTAGGGTATCGCAGACTACATCTCCGTTGAATTGTAATTTAACAAATAAATACTTCTTTCGGACGGTCGAAATTACTGACTTCTTTTTTACTGCAAACATATACTTCTTTATGAATGCTCTGGGATAACCAATCTCGGTTAGTGAGCCGTTGATGAATTCCATCTCCTGACTTAAAGTATCCACTGAACAGATCATATTTGCTCTGTTAGTGAGACATCTAACCAAATTTCTTTTGTAGCGAATAGGAAGTGTAAAACTACAAAAGTCAGTCTGTATTGGCAAGCAATGGGATTTTTTCTATACACGCTTCTACTTAGTGAACCATCAGTGTGATGTCAAACAAAGTCAGTTTTTTATCATATTCCTCTTCACCAGTGAATGTGATTGCCGGGTGTACACTGTTGAATTGTTCTAAGAGTTTTTCTTTTCTGATGTCCTGATCTACAATGATGAATGTGTCATCGACGTAACGGCAATGCAGATCAAGTTTCTGAATAGCTTCATTGAGTGGTCCATTTTCTAGCTTTGCTAAAAAGAGATCAGCTAGAATTGGGCGTAGAAGTGAACTCATGGCTATACCGTCTATTTGTCTATAATAAGTGTTGTTGAATACGTTCATCCTACATCTTAGGAGTAATTCTTTAAGGCAATCTTCGGGCAAACCAATATAAAGCAGCCTCATGACGATCTAATCGAAAACAATATTGTTCGCTTATATGTGTTGTTCTAATTTTCACCAGTGGAGTTACCTACCAAAGACATTGGATGAGGTGGCTCAAAATCCTGAGATTGATCAAAGTTTAACATTAAAACTGATTGATGCCACCAGCTCAGTGGTCTGGAGGTGAGCCGTTTGAGCTCAAGATTGATGGTCCTGCGTTCAAATCCTGCATGTAGCAGAAGACGTGAACGTGGTTGCGCAAGACCGCAGACTGATCAGAGTTAGACATTAATACCGTTGATGTTCACTGACTCAGTGGTCTGGAGGTTAAGTGTTCACGTTCAAAACCGAAGGTCCTGGGTTTTAATCTTGAGCGTAACAGGAGTCGTGTATGTTCACTGTTGACGAGTCCCATACCACGACTAAACGTCCATCCAGTGCTTCCAGGTTACTAATTATGGCCTATCAATGATTTTAAGGTGCAAATACGATCTCAAAAATATTCTAATGTATTGGAACCATTGTGAAGACTCTCATCATAGATCTGTCCGAATACCAATCAGTATTGATTAACTCCATAACGAAGTGCCATGTAATCACTAATCTTAGTACTTCGATATCACGTGAACTATTTAGGGATTTCAGGTGACTGGATGTAATTTTTAGAAAAGTATCTTTGATAAAGGTTTAGTTACATATCTTCAGAGGATTGATCTTTCTTCCACAATTCAGGGCTTCCTTGTGTGAAAAGCTATCAATAAGATATTTAGAACATGACTGAGCATGCAATAGAACTGAGATATTCACAACTGATTAATCACTAAATAGTGACTACTTACTTACTTATCTACGCGCCTCTATTACTGCTAATACTTATACTATCTCTACCACTATGGGATTTGAACTGACATTTGCGTCTCTGTGCTGATGCCGTATGACAACTTGAACTTATGTACTCATGTACGAAGTTCTACGTTGTAACTGACTGACTAATTTATCTATGCCTGTTACTCCCTATGGAGCATAGGCCGCCTATCAGCATTTTATAATCTACTCTGTCCTGGGCACTGTTTTACAGTTTTATCCAACCGCTGTTCATCCTTAGTATGTCTGCTTCCAATTCTCAGCGTATTGTAACTTTTGGTATTACTATTTTCCTTTGGCCTTGAGGATTCCAAGTGATGGCTTGTCTTGTGACACAGTTGGGTGGTTTCTTCAAGTTGTGTCCTAGCTACCTTCATTGCATTTCCCTAATTTCATCCTCAACTAGAATCTGGTTCGTTCTGTCCCACAAAAGGTTGTTACTGATAGTGTCTGATGAAAGTTTATTTTAATCCATACCACAGTTTCGTTAGATTTCAACAAAGTATTTATATCATAGAACATTGCACAATACAGTTCAAATGTTCATGTATTATGTTATTGAAGATGATATAACAGGAGTAATATATGCCTCTTTATTATACACAGTAGCGATATGAGTGATTGAATACTCGAACGACACATTAAACAAAGACTTGATCACGTTAAACTGGATACACCATTCAAGACCAAACCAGAAAACCTGATTATAAGCGCTACACAATTACAAGCAGTCACTTATATTCAGTGCAACCGTGTCGAATTTGTGAAGTAGGTAACCAACCACCAAAACTAATGAGTGAAGTTGAGCATTTTTCTGAACTAACTGAAGTTAGAAATTAAAACTGTTGCATGCCGGTTCAGTGGTCTACAAGTTAAACGTTCTTGCTCAAAACCGAAGGTCCTGTGTTCGATTCTCGTTGTGGTGCGAGCTACCTACAAGTAGTATATGACGTGAGTGTCAACGTAATGTCTGGTAGCAGAAGATGGGGGAAGATTAAGAAAGGAAGAGTTAGAAGAACACAATGGAATTTGTATGAAACGCATGAATAGTGACAATGGATTGGTGTTTTGCAAATTAACGATTTACCATATGGTTTTCCTATTTTACTGAGTAACTCTGTAATTTTCGTTAAATACAATCCGTTTGCATCACCTGTGTTATCGTTCACTACATCGTGTCCGGATTAAGTGGATGCGTACTGATGAAGAATTCAGAGAGTGGTTCCAGATTTCTAATACCAGTCTAACAATGATTCACTCATGATATCACAATGAAACCCGACAATCTCCACAACTCTATATATTCGTTCATACTCAATGATTAGTCACCTTTTCTTTTCAATATCCACACATCACAAATGATGGTGATAGGTCACTATGCTGTCATGTCATTGAAATTAGTTTAGAAGCCGATGAAAAGTACACTTTGTAACAAAACTACAAACTACTGAACATCTATGTTTACCATCATAACGTAGAAATGCATAGAAATATACACATTATGGACTATGAAATAACTGTCATCTCTTATATATTTTCATAGTAGATAATACTGATTTGTACTGTAAACAAATCATCGTTATATATATTTAAAAATTTCGATATCGAAATGCAATTTTTATCGTCAAAACAAACATTCGACTATGAATGTTATTCTTTCCTCTCTCTCAATCTCTCTCTGTTTCGAGTGATATTTGAAATTCTGTTTTTGTTATTCATACATTGTGGTTATCATATTTTTCAAAAGGTCAACATTTTTGTGTATATATCAGCTTAATCATAATAACGACAACAACAACTGCACAATTTGCACTTATATTTCTTCACCTCTCTCTTTAAAATATCAACCTTAAATAATGGTAGTCATCTTATGCATGAATGTATCGCTTGACAAATGTTGGTACTTGATTGCAAAGTTTTTACAATATTTGACTTCATATTGTCTTTGATGATGGTGGCTATGAGGATGATGGTGAGGATATTTTCAAAATAAGCACAAGTTTTTTTGTTAGATGATTTTACTAACTACCAACCGGTAATTAACTAACACTGACTGGAATTTTCGATGCAACGCAACATGCAACAACCAAATCACTCTTGATGGAGATGCCTTGTAGGACGATAAAACGTTTATATATCTGGGCAGCATCATCGACGACAATCGACGTGGATCCAATGCAGATGTGAGTGCGCGGACTGGCAAAGAAAGGGCTGCATTTCTACAACTGAAAAATATCTGAAGCTCCAAACAACTTTCAACCAACACCAAAATCAGAATTTTTAATACAAATGTCAACACAGTTCTACTGTATGGAGCGGAAACTTGGACAACTACCAAAGCCATCATCCACAAGATACAAGTGTTTATTAACAGTTGTCTACGCAAAATACTTCGGATTCGTTGGCCAGACACGATCAGCAACAACTTACTGTGGGGGAAAACAAATCAGATTGCAGCAGAGGAGGAAATCAGGAAGAAGCGGTGGAAGTGGATGGTACACACACTACGAAAAGCACCTAACTACGTCACAAGACAAGCCCTCATATAGAACCCTCAAGGTCAAAGGAAAAGAGGAAGGTCAAAGAACACATTACATCGAGAAATAGAGAAAGATATGAGGGGAATGAACAGACATTGGACAGAACTGGAGACGGAAGCCCAGGACAGAGTTGGTTGGAGAAAACTGGTGTGCGGCCTATGCTCGATTTTGGGTAACAGGCATAAGTAAGTAAATAAGTAAGACTGGAATCTTCAATCAACAGTGTACACGTTTATACTGATTGATGAGAGGGGTGTTTTAGGTGGTCAATTCACTTGGGATATTTGACATTGGTGAGGTGACAGTTTGAATTTTAATTACTGAAATCATGAATGAAAACATTGTTAGACCATCATTAGAAGAAACCCGAAGGCACTGAATCATCAGTGGCAATGCGTAGGATTCAAGCCTAGGACGTTCGGTCTTGCGCACGAACGCCTAATCTCTAAACCACTGAGTTGGTATCTAGCGGTCTGGATGTCTAACTCTGATCAATCTAAGGATTTTGCACAGCCTCACTCATTTTTTTTCTGACAGGGTTGACTTCATGGTAAAACAACGATCTCCATAACACTATTTCGCAAAACCACAAAAAATGTGCTCACTATTCATGAGCTTCATGAGGTTCACAGAGATCTAATGAGAAAACGTGACCAGTGGATTTCGAACCTGTCGAGTATAAGTAGTAACTACTGAAGACAATGCCGGATGCCAACTCAGTGGTCCAGAGGTTAAGCGTTCGCGCGCATGACCGAAGGTCTTGGGTTCGAGTCCTGCTAGTAGCAGGAGCAAATGCGCACTGTAAATGTATTATACTCTGAAATTGATGAGATTATTTGATTTTACTAGAAGATATCAACATTTTTTTAATAAATCTGATACCAATATTGAGGTTTACTTATGTATTTCATTTAAAATATTCTCGAAAGTTTTTAGTGTGTGTCTGTGCAATTATGTCGAGCCCATTTGGCTAGTCCGACAAACTAATTTATCTAGTCTTCTCAAATTATTCACACACTTTGGTGCGAGCTACTTATAAGTAGTATATGACGTGAGAGTCAACGTAATGTCTGGCAGCAGAAGATGAGGGAAGATCAAGAAAGAAAGAGTTCGGAACACAATGGAATTTGTATGAAACGCATGAATAGTGACAATGGATTGATGTTTTGCAAATTAACGATTTTGCGATATGGTTTTCCTATTTTACTGAGTAACTGTAATTTTCGTTAAATACAATCCGGTTGCCCCCACCTGTGTTCTCGTTCACTACAACACCTTTCGATCTAGTCAGTTGTTTACGCATAACTTTGGTTGCTTTTATTTAAGTGCGTAGATGCATTGCTTACTTCGCTAACTACATGTCAAGCTTATTTTGTCTGACTTAAAATAGTTAATCATGCCTTATGGCATGGAGGTGGCTTACTAGCCTTTTCCACCTCCGCTTTTCTTTGCTTTGTTTTGCTCGTCTTATCTGCGTGAACGATTGTCTGAAATAAACTGATCCAAATGAATTTGAATTTCGCTTCTTATTACCGCCGACGAACTACCGGAGATCCCCTTAAATATGATAAACGGAAATTGAAAGGTAGATTTATTTCATTGCATATATCTAGTTGTTCGTCTAAATTACAGTCAGACAGACAGACAGATACAACGCAGAACTTCGTACGTACTTACATCAGTTCAGACTGACATGCCCCATCCGCACAGAGACGCATCTGTCAGTTCAAATCCAACAATGATAGCGAGAGTAGAAGTATTAACAGTAATGGCGAAGATATGATTCGAGAAGTATTATTCAGTAAAATAAATTTAGAAGGAGAAAGTTAGAGATTATGAGGAATTCAGAAGCTTAGAATTTCATAGAACACAAAGAGTGGATGCACCTGCTCCATTGCAAACGATTCTGAACCATGTTGTCCAAGATCTCTAACCATTGGTGACTATCGTCTCGCGGACCCAACCAGGTAGCCTACATCTACCAACATGACTCATTCCACTTGTCAGTGACTTCATGGATTTCTGCCATGTTTTGTTTTGGCCACCCTTAGCTTTCTTCAAACATACTCCTACACTGCAAAACAGCTCGTCGCCCCATAGCTGCTACCTTGACGTGGTCGTCGGGCTTGCCTGTCGTGATGACCCAACCGAGGTATATTCGCTGGAACTTATGTTCCTGAAGGTTCTACCACGCCAGCCAGGCAGGTCGACTGGAGAACGATGAGACTAAAAGCAGCTACCCAACGTCTGAGGGCGAAGTCGTACTGCTGACTGCAGAGGGGTGTGACAGCAGCAAGGTGTTTCCCTCGGACAATTAGCATCTGTAGCGATGCTGCCTTCTCACAAGAAAGGAAGGGTTAGAAAAGGTCGACCCTAAAAATGTCACACCTCACCTTACCTCACGGATTTACGTCTCCGTCGGTAAGGGCTTTCAAGAGCGGAGCTAATACTCAAAAAACCTTTAATAAAAGTTAACTTACTTGGTGCTCTAATGATATGACCTCGCAGTTTTTTGGAATTCTGTTGACATTCATATAAACCTTCATGAATATTGCCCATTTCTTTAATTGCAATTACACTTGTACGTAATTTATCCAGACGATTTGTACCAGTCGGTAAAGTTCCACCATTGAATGTCCAAATCACCTAAAGATCACAGAAGAATTTTATTAAATTATTTCATGTATAAAAATGTATAAAAACTTCAGATTCAGTTTGAAATTTTCATTATTCACAAACATATTTCCAAAAGAAAAACAAAAAAAGGTGTATGAACGTTGCTCAAGACCGTGAATTTATCGAAGTTAGATATTGATACCAATACGTGCCGGCTCAGTGGTTCATAGACAAGGCATTCTCGCATGAGACTGAAGGTCCTGAGTTCGGGCAGGAGTCAAAGATGCGCACTGACACTAATGAATCCCATACCAGGACGAAACAGCCGTCCAATGCCTCCAGGTTTCTAATGATGGTCTAACATTGATCGATTCATGATTGCAATCAGTAAATTAAGTTTGCCTGTCAATGCTGTATAATCAATTTCCTAGTAGCCATTACTGTCCAATGATCTATTCCTCGATGTTTCAATGTCCCAACATTGCTTTCGACATGATTTTAATGTTTGTTATTGTTTAAATGTATACGCACTTTATAAGTAATAGCTAGTCTGTTCATTTCGAAAAATATCTTTTCATTCATTATATTGTATTTATTCATCCATTCAATTCTTACAGTTTATGTACTGTATCATGAAATGATTGGAGTTAGATATTAACAGTGTTGGCTGCCGACTGGACAGTTTAAAAGTTAGACGTTGGCGCGGGAAACAAGAGGTTTTGGGTACGATCATACGTGATGGTGTCTTGATTACATACTGCAGAAGAGCTCTGTACAAAGATGAAATGACTATCTAGTGCTTTTAGGTTTTCATCAGTGGTCTAACCAAGATTTCTGTGATTTACATAAAACTCAACATTCTCCACAACTCTAAAATGTAAGTCATAAAAGGGTGCCCACTGGTGACTAGCTTCAAATGGAAAGTCTCAGAGTTGTAGTGAGAAGATGTGGCTCAATCGAGTCGGGTGTGAGGCAGTTACTTACCGAAGAAAATGGATAATGGCCACACAATACTCTGAATTGACTGAAGGTAGACACAAGCTCAAAAATCAAGAGCTTAAGCGTTCATGTATGACTAAAGGTAATGGATTCGATTTCCTTGTGACGGTTCTTGAATGCGCACTACTGATGAATCCCATATGAGATGCTTTAAACTATTACGAGTTCATCTTACTCGAAGAACGGAATGAAGTTCAACGATACAGTGACACGACAGGCTATTCTAAACCGATTGTACCACTTCATGAATGCATAAATCTGTCTCTTGACTAAATCTTACATTAAGAACATTAATGACGTTCATCATATCACTTATTTACATTAATAAATTGTATATAACCTAAAATGATCTTATCTTTTTGAGACAGTGTATAGGTTCAGCACAATAATTCATGAACTGAGTTTTTATTCCATTCCGCCTGGAGCCCATCTGGAGCTACTGCCTGTCCTAAGCCCACAAAAAGGAGGAGGTTCGAGCATGGGGTTGGTGACCCCTTCTCGTCAAAAACTAACTCGTTAAATAACACCAACCAGAGTTAAAATAATTAACTCTGCCCTAGGAGTTACAAGGTCTTTATTTAGAAAAGTTATAATGTCTCATGCTGAAAGTCGAGTTTCTTCAGAGGTCACGAGGCTGATGCCCCTTCTAAAAACCAAGTACATGGTATGTCCGTACAATATAGAAGACGGGGAAAACCATTCAAGTTGTTGCGGAAATGAAACGATACAATCTGTTGGTACTTTGAACCAATGAAATACATTAGACATAGGTTGAACAACAAAGACTAGCTTCGCTAGAGTTGTTGTTACATTCCAACCATGAAGACGAAAATGCCCTACCCACACAAGTTGTTGTACTGATAGGATGAGAATCTCATGGATTCAGGATAATCAAAGTATCCTTCAAAACAAACAAAGAGGGCATTGCCATAAATAACATTCAATGCGGCGGCCTGTGCTCCCCTGAGGGAAACAGGCAAAGGTAAGTAGTATATATATATATGATTTAAAAATAATTTCAAATTGTTTTAAATTTGGCTTTTTTCATACATTTGCTCCTGTCCCCTCAAAATCTTTTTCTAATTCACAATGTAATTCTAAAGATTCACCATTTCGATAACTGAAAATTTCCGTAGTTCTCTCAGTCAATTCTATAATAACAGAAGATAGAAAAAAAACACAGCAGAACAGTAAATGATAGACAGTAGTATCATGAAAAATAATTTTGAGGAATCATTGAACTTCTGTTTTCCTTCACGTATAAAATATTCATCAACAGTGCCAATCCATGACACTCGTAAGCGGGAAACGAACCCTGGTCTCGCTCGCTCGCGTACGTGCGCGCGCGCACACAAACATTTTACCTCTAGACACCACTGACTAAGTCAATAACATTCATTAGTGTTAATATGTCTAACGTGTTTTTACTAAACCTTTATCTATTGTCTGGCGTCTAGTACATGTGGATAAAACTGAAAATTAAGGCTGAGAAGAGAGTAGGTTTGAGAATGCTGGTCGGCAACACCTATACGCCATGATGAGTAAAAGACGTAACTAAGCACGTAAATAAGTTCATCTTATAGTTTTTGAATAGTTCTAAATCAGGATACAGCTGGACATAGATTTCTGTTTAGCGTTTTTTTTAGCGAGTTAATTTTCTACGTGTTACGCATGCACGTAAACATGTCATTGATACGCCTGAATTATTAAGAGTTTACCATAGTCGGAAAACGAGAGCGAAGATCGAGGATTCGGCAACACGACAGGCTACTCAAATCCGATTGTCCCAAACACCGACTGAGTATAAGAAGTAGACTTGACATGAAGTAGAATATGTATTCTAAAAGCATCTAGAAAGTACGAGGTCAGAGTCCAGAAGAGAATCAGGATCCCGGACTAGGGATACGGGTCCAGGTCATAAAATGTTACAGATAATTCGTATTTATACAGTAAGTTCCAATAGGAAACAACATCGAAGTTTGTGACATTGACAGTTAAGACAACCAATAGGAAGCAACATTTGGAGTGAAATTGATAGTCAAGACAACCAATATGAAACAACATTGGAGTACGTGACACTGATATCTAGGACGACCACCGTATTGACCAGTAGGAATTAACCAATAGGAATTGACCAATAAAATTCTTTTAGGATATTAGATAAATATCCTAACACTACGCAGTGGGATCGCCAACCCCATGCCCTACCCTCCACATTTGTCCATGCTTGGGACCGCCGATATTAGCGACAGAGAGAGGCTCCAGGCTCAAAAAAATGACTAAAATTAACTAGATGTCCAACAATTGACGATTACATATTCACCTTTCAATAACTATCTATCCATTATCAAGATTTTCTCACATTTTACTTGCAAACATTTGATAGACAGATGAATGAATAAATTAAATCCCATACCCATTAATCACTATAATTAAATAATATTTTTAAGAGAAAAATAAAAAAATTATTCTCAATTATTTTCATTTATGTCATTAATCATTCCCTGTCTTTTCATTTCTCTCTACTGAATTCATTCTTCAGTTAATTTTTATTAGTAGTATATACATAAACTTCCTCTCTTTCTCTCTCTGACTGACTGACTGACTGACTAACGAGTTATTCCTGTTGTAAAATTTCAAACTTGTTCATAGTTTGTTTGTTCACATTAAAAAGTAGTTGGCAAATTAAGCTTTACATTTTGGATTTATGTGTAATATTTATTACTAATATTATTATTAGTAGTAGTAGTAGTAATTGTAGATTTTTATTCCCGTTTCGCCAAATGAATAATTTATAAATAAACACTACTAATTAGGTCAATACATAGTAATTAGTAAACATTATTTATTATTCATAATAATGTTGTGAAATTTTGTGACAGTTAAAATAAATATATTACTTCATAAATATATTATTTAATAAATAATAGAAGTTGTATACAATATATATATGTAAAATTGGAATTGTATGCGAAATTGAACAATGAACGGTTCAATGTTCAACTATTTTTTTTGATACACAATTTCAAATTACTGTTCATCAGTCAGTCAGTCAGTCAGTCAGATGCAACGTAGAACTTTGTACGTAAGTACATCAGTTCATGTCGCCATACCACATCAGCACAGACACACAATTGTCAATTCAAATCCAATAGTAGTAGAGATAGTAAAGGTATTAGAAGTAATCCGAGAGGTTAGGATTAGAAGATATTATTCAAGAAGTATGATTCAGTGGGAAAAGTTTACAAAGTTGAAGAATCCAGAAGATTAGGATTTGAGAGAACACAAAGAATAAAAACACCGGAGCCATTGCAAACGGTTTTTAGCCATGTCATCCAGGGTCACTAACCATCGGTTATTATCATCTCGCGGACCCCAACCAGGTAGTCGACAACTACCAACATAGCTACGTCCACTCGTCAATGACTTCATGGATTTCTACCATGTTTTGATTTGGCCGCCCCTAACTTTCTTCCAACCTACTCCTACACTACTAAACAAAGCTCGACGAGGCAGTCGGTGGTTAGGCATACGCAGCACATGTCCCAACCACCTCAATTGATGAAGTTTCACCACTTCATCTATTGATCTGCCATTCTCACCTAGCACCCGATTCCTAATAACAGCGTTGCTCACTCGCGTGTCCCACGACATACGAGCAATGCTTCGGAGGCATTTAAAATGAACATACACACATATATAACTAAATACTAATTAGGTCAATACATAGTAATTAGTAAACATTATTTATTATTCATAATAATGTTGTGAAATTTTGTGACAGTTAAAATAAATATTACTTAATAAATATATTATTTAATAAATAGTAGTAGTTGTATACAATATATATATGTAAAATTGGAATTGTTTGCGAAATTGAACAATGAACGAACGGTTCAATGTACAATTTTTTATTTTGATACACAATTTCAAATTACTGTTCATCATTCAAGTTTATTTATATATTGAAATTAAATGTTTTAATTATTTTTATTTCTCAAAATTATAAATTACATTATAAATTTTTACGAAAGACAACTATGAAGATGATCAGCATGGAAGGAAATAAGTAGTGCCAGTCTGATGTATTGGTTATTGACAACAACAGACTCCTTGAATGGTCTTTTAGTTGCTGTTATTGCCAACAAGCAGGTTTCACGTTTCAAGAATATTTTGAAAGTATTTTTGAAATTTAATATTTGTGTAATTCATTTTTTGAAACCATGAATCGATCAATGTTAGACCAGGAAGTACTGAAAGACAGCCGTCTCGTCCAGGGATGGGACTCCTCGGCAGTACGCGTCCACGACTCCTGCAGCCCACAGGATTCGAACCCAAGACCTTCGGTATTGTGCGCGAACGCCCTAACCGTTAGACCACTGAGCCGCTATCTAACGGTGTTAATGTCTAACTTGATCAAATTCACGGAGTTGCGCAGACTCATACATAGTCTTCGGTAGACGTTGCCTACACCCGAACAGGTTGAACTTCACTAGTCACGTCTTCCCACTAGAACTCGGAGAGGATTGCTCACGAAGCTAGTCACTAATGAGCACAGGTAATTTGCATTACAGGGTTGTTGTGAAGATTTTTAAGTTACACATTTTTTTAAAATCATGAATCGATCAATGTTAGACCACCATTAGAAATCTGGGTTCGAATTCTGCGGGGGCAGGAGTCGTGGATGCGCACTGCTGAGGAGTCTCATCCCTGGTCGAAACGGCCGTGTTTCAGTGCTTCCAGGTTTCTAATGGTGGTCTAACATTGATCTATTCATGGTTTCAAAAAAATATGTAACTTAACAATCTTCACAACCCCTGTAATGCAAATTTATGTAATTGATCGATTCAGAGAGGTAGCAAGCTAGTTTCATAATGACAGTAATCCAAGGAAATTTTCAAAGATGTGAAGGGTTAAATGTAATTTTGGAGCATTCTTTAAAATTAGAACTTAACAACAACGGTGTAATAGAATACTGTTTTACTAATATGAAACGGTTAATATATTATTCTATTAAATCGCTGTATACTTTAATTTGGAAATAGTAGTTGGTAGTGTGGTGTGCGCTACTTATAAGTAGTATATGACGCGAGTGTCTGGCAGTAGAAGATGGGGGAAGATCAAGAAGGTAAGAAGAGTGGGAACACAATGGAATTTGTATGAAACGCATGAATAGTGAAATGTCAGACAATGGATTGATAATTGATTGAAGATTTGCAAATTAACACGATTTACGATATGGTTTTCCTATTGTACTGAGTGACTCTGAAATTTTCACTAAATACAATTCGGTTGCCCTCATCTGTGTTCTCCTTCACTACGGTGTGAGTCGGATGCATTGGTTATTGAAAACTAGCAGGTTTCGAGTTCCAAGAATATTTTGAAAGTAGTTTGAAATTCAATATTTATGTAATTGATCGATTCAGAGAGGTAGCAATATAGTTCCCGAATGATAGTATTGCAAGGAAATTTTCAAAGATGTGAAGGGTTAAATGTAATTTTGGAGCATTCGTCAAAATTAGAACTTAACAACAACGGTGTAATCGAATAGTGTTTTACTAATATGAAACGGTTAATTGATTATTCTGTTAAATTGCTGTATACTTAAATTTGGAAACAGTAGGCGGTAGAACAGCTTTTATTACAATAATAGAATTAGAATATCATTTACGGTTATTTGCCCAAATTTTTCATGACTGAACTACATTGAGCAGAGATTCTCATTAGAATTCAAGGAAGCTAGATTCTCACTGGGGATCAGAAAGCACCAGATAGTTATTTAGTGCTATTGTGGTGCGCGCTACTTATAAGTAGTATATGACGCGAGTGTAAACGTAATGTCTGGCAGCAGAAGATGGGGGAAGATCAAGAAAGGAAGAGTTCGGAACACAATGGAATTTGTATGAAACGCATGAATAAATGAAATGTCAGACGATGGATTGATGTTTGCAACAGAAACAATCCAGTTCGATATGATGGATTGATATTTTGCAAATTAACGATTTACGATATGGTTTTCCGATTTTACAGAGTAACTCTGTAATTTTCGTTAAATACAATTCGGTTGCCCTCACCTGTGTTCTCCTTCACTACACTATTACTAGACTCTTCAGTATCATTCAACCACGACCTTACCACTTTGACTTATTTTTTCTGGTTAGCGTTAAGGCATGGAGCCGCCAACCCAATACCCAACCCTCCTCTTTAATCCGTGCTAGTCAATGGCAGTAGCCCTAGAAGGGCTACTCAATACAACTGTCAACAAACACCAAAATCATAATTTTCAATACAAATGTCAAGAAAGATCAACTATGTGGAGTGAAAACTTGGAGAACTACGAAAGCCATCATCCAGAAGATACAAGTGTTTATTAACAATTGTCTACGCAAAATACTTCGGATTCGTTGACGAGACACTATCATTAACAATCTACTGTGGGAAAGAACAAACCAGATTCTAACGGACGAGGAAATCAGGAAGAAGCACTGGGAGTGGATTGGACACACACTGCAGAAAGTACCCAACCGCATAACAAGACAAGTCATCACTTGAAACCCTCAGGGTAAAAAGAAAAGAGGAAGCATAGGCAACACATTACGCTGAGAGATGGAGACAAGCGTGAAAAGAATGAACGATAATTGGAGAGAACTGGAAAGTGAGGCTCAGGACAGAGTAGGTTGGAGAATACTGGTCAGTTGCGTAAGTAAGTAAGTACAACCTTACAACTGCGGATCGGAATCAGAACCTTATATTTATCCTTTGCTTAACCTCTAGCCTACTAATAAGCCATGACTAGTGAAGTTCAGACGACTCGGGTACAAGAAAGTTATCCACCATAAATAGTGGCAGATACCAATGACACATCGTCAGTCGAGTGAAGTTAGTCATATACACCACCGGATTCCAGCTCATCGGGCTAGAGGTTAAGAGTTCGTCCACCACGTTGATCCCTGGTGATAAGGTTGTGTTTGCACACTTCTTAACAGTCTAGTGTACTAAGATGAAATATCTATTGAGTGCTTCCTGATTTCTAGTAATAGTCTAGCTTAGTTCGACAATGTTCACAAAAGTCTCTTCATAATAAACAGGCTAGTTGTCCGCATGTTAGAAAGATGGTTTTCATAAGAAATCTATTATTCTGTCAGTCAGTCAGTCAGTTGCAACGTAGAACTTCGTACGTATGTACATAAGTTCATGTTGCCATACCACAGCACAGAGACGCAAATGTCAAATCAAATCCCATAGTGATAAAGATAGTAAAGGTATTATTGTTAATAAAGAAGACTACGGTTCGAAGATATTATTCAGTGATATAAGGTTAGAAAGACAAAGGTAAAGGTGCTGACCAATCCAGAAGATTAGGATTTGAGAGAGCTCAAAGAGTGGATGCACCTGCGCCATTGCAAACGATTTTGAGCCATGTCGTTCAAGGTCTCTAACCATTGATGACTTTCCTCTCGCGGACCCCAACCAGGTAGTCTACATCTACCAACATGACACAGTCCATTTGTCAGTGACTTCATGCATTTCTGCCGTGTTTTGGTTTGGCCACCCTTAGCTTTCTTCCAACCTACTCCTACACTACAAAACATAGCTCGTCGAGCCAGTCGGTGGATAGGCATACACAACACATTTCCCAACCACCTCGACTGATGAAGTTTCACAACTTCATCTATTGATCTGCCATCCTTACCTAGTACTCGTTTCCTAACGACAGCATTGCTTACTCGGCTGTCCCACGATATACGAGCAATGCTTCTTAAACATCTATGATCGAATACTAGTAACCTACGAACATCTTCTACTCTTAACGGCCATGTTTCGCATCCATATAGGAGAACGGAGCGAACTGCTGCGAAGTACACTCGTCCTTTCGTTAGCGAACGGATATCTCGTCTACGCCATAAGTGACGCAGGTTAGCAAAAGCCAATCGAGCCTTCTGTATCCGAGCTGAGATTTCGTCAGTCACCAGGCTATCAGCACTGATCAGACTCCTAAGATAAGTGAAGTGATCAACACGCTCGACTACTTCACTCCCTATCACTAGTTCAGGTGCCAATGCAACCCAATCTTGAAGCAACACTTTGCATTTCGATGGGGGGGGGGGAAACCGCATCCCGAACATGCTTGCATTGTTGCTTATGGTAGTCAGAAGACTCTGCATTTTGTCAGCGTCTTCACAGAATAGAACTATGTCATCGGCATATTCTAGATCAGTAAGCGACTTTCCTGGTATATTCTGTGCTTACCATTACTTAACAAAAATAGGCCAGTCATCATTGGGTGACACTGATAGAAACTATACTCTGAATTTACAAACCCCTATGGTGTTTTTTTAACATTGAGCGCTATATTTCAGACTTGACCTATTTAATTACGATCGCCTTGCATAATGTTCCACGTATATGAACAAATTCATCGATTCCCAAATCAAACTTTATTTAAAAATATTTGGTGAATATAATTTCTACAAAATAACAACGAAAATTCAATACTTACCCATCTTTCCAGTTGTACCAAGAGGTTTCGGCTCTAAATCCAGTTGGATTGACCCGACAATTTCGCCAGTTTCAGATGAAACAGCTTCACAAGTAATCAATGTATCACGTTTAACACCCTCATCTGGCACATGATCGATGATGAGTTGACGAACTATTGTCTCACTATCACCAATCTTTCCCTCTTCTACTGTTGACCATTGATAATTGTAAGTGGATGTCATGGCTTCATTCGATGGCATATGACATTGTAAAATCACAGATGGATCATCAGGATCAATTCTTCGTGATATTGTAATATATGGAGTGGCTGTGAACAATGACGAAATTAAATATTCATTAAGCATCATCATAGGGTGCGTTTTGTGGAAATCATGAACTTAACAATGTTAGAAACTTGGAAGCACTGGAAGATCGTTTGGAAAACTGCCTACCTTTGATCTGACATCAGAGAACCAACTGTCGAGTAATGAACTCCACCTGAAGCCCCCTCGGGCCTGCTATCGGTCCCAAGCCAGAATAGAGGAGGAGGGTTAATCATGAGGTAGGCAACCCTATCCTGTAGGAAACTAACTCGCCTTAAAAAAACGCTAACCAGTCAGTAGAACGATTGAATGATGTAGTTAGTATTTGCTTCTGGTTGGTCATTTATTGTGTCGGCGGAAAGATGCTGGTTTGGAGTCAGCTACAATACAGATTTTCTTCAATCTTTGTATATCAGAATGTAATACTGATGTGCCATACATTACGTCCTTAATGTCATATCAATAGCTAGCAAAAATCGCATCCATATAACCGATGACACTAGAAGATGGATGAAGTTAGGAATGTAAGCTCTATCAGATAACTACATCGTGGTCTATTGGTTAAGCACTTACTGTGAAAATTAAATATACTAAGCATGACCACCCTTGGTGAGACAAAACATCCGAGTAGTTCTTCTTAGCTTAAAGCTGTTGTTTGAAGTTAACACAAGGTGGAAACTAATGAATTTCAACAATCTTCACAAAATCCGTTCCCCTTAATAGTGTTTTGTTTTCTCAAGTCGACCGGCGATATCTACCCAAACGAAGGATAGGCTTTTAGCGCACAATACCTAAGGTCCCGGGTTCGAATCCTGCGAGATGCAGGAGTCGTGGATGCGCACTGTTGATGAGTCACATATCAGGACGGAACGGCCGTCCAGTGCTTCCAGGTTTCTAATGGTGGTCTAACAATGATTGATTGATGATTTCAAACGTGGAAGTTACTTGAGTTGCCCTACCCTATGTGCATTTACAAATTCAGCTGCTCCTGTGTAGATAGATATATCGGGAGTACCACCAGACAACTTAAGCAACGAATGAGTAAACATCTGCCAGCATGGTTTAAGAAGGTTCAGTCAGAAATATTACGCAGTTCGATCTTAGCACATCTGGTTGATAGTGGTCATATTGTAGATAAGTCTAGATCTTTTCGAGTGACCTTTCTCGTATACCTCCATCATTTCTCAACGGAGTTCGATCCCGTCTCCTACATATATGGGAGAAGCCCTAGGATATTCGTACATTCAACTCCAATTTATGCGTTCAGAAGAAATTTGTGACTAACCTATCTCTTCCATGGCCGGATATGACTTACTCAACGTTTAAAAAGAAAGTTTTTTAAGTTTTATTTTGTTATTATTAGCATTATTTTCACATCGTGTACTTGTTTGTAATTTTCTGCCTCTTCCCGTTTATATTCTTCATTATCTAATCATTGTTACACACTTCTTATTACGTAATGATTATTTAAAGGCTAATTATCCACCTTTGACATACTATCTCCAGTGGTGAACTGTTGATAAAACTTTTCTTACTACTAACAGTACATCTCTGTCTTCCTCCTACTATCAACTTGTTCTGTTTCGCCTAATATGTGTAGTGACTTTATCTCTATTTTGTTTCATTTTGACTGCTGACTCAAACTACCTTGACTGGTTTAACATTTGCAAATGTATTCATGTATATTAGAGAGAGAGTAAAGCAGCCTGATGACGATCGAATTGGTGAAACAACACTATTGTTCACTTAAATCAATGTTATTCTAATTTCATTTTAAATGATTTTGTGAAAAAATTTACCAAGTATCATCAACCAGATAATTTTTTTGAGAAAAAATTATCAAACAATTTGACAGATGGTAATTTCTAGTTTTGGGAATTTTTTAGGAGTTTGTAGTTAGCAAACATAATCACATGCACAGATTACAAGCTGGCTAAAAATTGAAAACAGCTGCTGTGGACAAATGAAATAGTTGTTCAATATATATGTATATATGTTGAATAGCTCTAGGGATTTCTTCAAATAACGATCAAGTTAGAATAACTATTCATCAACCTAGCTCGAAGTTCTAGTGAAAAGATGTGATCAGTACAGTTCAACCGTGTCGGGTGCGAGTCAGTTACCCACCGAAGACAATAACTGATGATCTGTGGATTATAGTGAATCGGCTGAAGTGAGACGTTAACACTGTTGGATGTGAACTCAGTCAGTGGTCAAAAAGTTAAGCGTTGGCGTTCGAGACCGAGAATCGTGAGTTGGATTCTCCTTCTGTGGTGTTGCAGATGTGCACAGATGCACAGATGAGTTTGATACTAGAACAAAACTAGTTTTAAATTACAGTTTGATACTGATCAGTTCATGATTTTTAACGAAATCAATTTGAAAATCACTCAAATACTTATCAGTTTTACTTACAATCAGTTGATCTACGTGTACGTTTTAAATAAATTTGTTGATCTGATGATGATGATGTTGTATTCAGCTGATCTATCCAACCATATTGACACAATGGTAGAATATGTTTGGTGTTATGTGGCATGTTATGTGTAGTTTGTTCAAATTTATCATTGTATTCATTCACAATCACATTGCCGATAGGATATTCCCATATGACAAAAGTATTATCATTTGGTACATTAGGACAATGGAAATATTTCGATGTGGCGGAATGAATTAATTTTGCAAAATTAATTTCTAAAATATTGAAAACAAAATTGAAAGAAAAGAAATTATGGTATATATATATAATGAAAGATATTTTAAAAATAATTGTCTGAAAATAATCAGCAAATGTAACGCCCAACCCAGCTACAACATCGGCTAGAAAATATGTTTCGTTAGGATCTACCCATGTCAGGTAGGTTGACTGGAGAATGGTAAGACTAAAAGCAGCAAGTCAGGATCTGAGAGTGAAATCGAACTGCTGATTGTAGATGGGTGTGACAGCGGTAAGGTGTTTCCCTTCGATAGCCTGAATCTGGAGTGATGCTACCTTTTCATAACGGATGGGAGGGGTCAGAAATGATGGAGTCTGAAAATGTCACAACCCACCTTGCCCCACTGGTTTCTGTCTCCGTCAGTAAGGTCATTTGTAGAGCGGAACTAACATATTAAAAACTTCCCATGGATAGGCCGTGCGTGACCGGCCTCAAGCTATTGTACCTTCGGCTCTGCGGTCACACTCCTAGGTCTCTAAGACCAATGCTAACCCGGTCTTCATTTCAAGTTCCTCAAGAAGTACCCTTACATTTTGTTTGCAGCCTGGAAATGACATCCGCCTTCATACCAGTAACAGCATACGAGACTAAGTCGGTCACAATCAAATCCTTCCTGATTGACTAACTACATGTTTGGCCTAATTTCACTTTTATGTCATTGTTAATTGTTATGTAAGTAAACATTCAGTGCGTTGACTGTAAGTTTTGTCTTCTGTGTACTTTTCATTTTAAAGAAAAATAGTTTAATTCATTTACGGTAGTTTGTATACATAACTACTCCTGGAGCCCTTCTAAGGTCACTGTCGGTCCAAAGCCCAAAATAAAGGAGAAGGTTTAGGCATGGGGTTAGTGACCTGATCCCGTAGAAATCTAACTCGCTAAAAATATGCTAACCACAAAAAATAATTCTCTGGTTGGTGACCTATGTCCGATTAGGGATAACAAGCGTAAGTAAGTAAGTTTGTACACTTTCGTGCTTTCTCGTCAGTCACATACAAGCAACATGTTATTTGTGTAAATACGGTTTTGAAGATAAGGATCAATCAGACGAAAGTACACCGCAAACCAACCTGGTCGGGACAGTACATCCACTTCACTAGTTTCTGCCCCATACAATATAAACGTTCTGTTGTTAAAACTTTATTCGCTCGAGCAAGTAGAATCTGCACTGCTGATACATTGAACGACGAATTCAAGCTTATTACTGAGGCACTTAAATCAAACGGATATTCCGAAACGTTTACTGGTCATTAGAAAACAACTACGACGAAGCTGATAGCAACTGATGTACCCAAGAAACCAGTGTGCCTACAGTAGTTACCTTTCAAGGGTGATCATTGCATGAAAATTACAACCAAACAGACTGCAGCTGCAATAAAAAAGACCTTCAATGCAGCTAATCTGAGGCTTATCACAACAACTCGATCGATCTCAGTTACCCCAACCAAGTCTCCAAGACCGATTAAGTTCAAATCCCACTGTATCTACTAATTCCACATGTAACTGTGGAGAAAGTTACTTAGGGTAGGACAGATCGCCGATTAGGAGGACAGGATACGGGAACATATTCTAAAATGGTTAATCAAACTTAGCCCATCATCTCAAGATCGATCAAGAAACCCAGCCTCGTCCATTGCAAAACATCTAATGATGAGTAGGTCATCAAATTGACCCAAAATCAGCTTCTAGAGTTGTGACATGTCATCAAAACCCACACACACATTGAAACTACTCGAAGCTATGCTTGATTGGTCGGAAAAGTCCAACTTTATGTGTTCAAAAACAACTGTATGTTGACTTTGTTTACCATAGGTTCTAGTGAGTGAGTGAATATCATGCTAAATAAGAAATTTTGACCTTATTTCAAAACTGTATTTACACACGAATAAATAACATGTTGCTTGTATGTGACTGACGAGAAAGCACGAAATGGTACTACTAATCTCACAAAATATGTCTTCTCATTTCCTCTGTTCAAATTTATCAAAGTGAACCACTGTTTTAAAATATTTTTGACATCTATTTGCGACTTGTCCGTAGGTGAATGCACCTTACCACTTTTCAGAGTTGATGTTCACTCAAGGACTCGAACTCAGCTAACTGTTCGCTTCAAACGCCATTGCGTTATCCACTCATCTACTGAATCCAGATAGCCACTTACTGATAAACTGGGACGAAATGCAAATTCTGAATTCCGATGCCAGCCATCATCACGTCTATACTACTAATAAAGCCTTTTAATCTAGTAACAGATTTGAGGCAATTCACACAGAATGTACATTCACCAAAATTTGAGACTAATCAATGTCAAGCGTAAACATCAATTGTTAAAAATAGTTTAGATTTGATTCATCAAAAAAAAATCACTATGATCAATCAATCAATCAATACACTGTGCCAAATTGAATTCGATTCAATGTTCAATGGATACTTGAAAATCCATTCAAGTCAAATGAATGTAAACATTCGTATCCAGCGGAAAAAAAAACAGCAAACCAGAATGAATAATTTACTAAATGAATTAAATTAATTTATTGTATGTAAATCTGTTATACACGTTCATATCACTACTAATGTATATCATGAATGTTTTGTTTATACTAACTATTTTGGGAAAAAAAATAAATATATCACTAGGTTTTTGAAATTTACTATCGATGAATTGATTGAATCGAAATTCTAATGAACATTAGTAAAATGCATGATTTTCGTGGTGGTGATGGTGTTTTTGATTCTCTGAGCTGGATGTTTTAGTTGTGAAACGTTCATCATTGCTCTTCTAGTGAACAACAACATCATCAGCACAAACTTCTATCTGCCTTCTATCAGACTTCTATTTGAAGTTTGTGCTGACGATGTTGTTCAGCAGAAGAACAATGAACGCTTCATAGCCAAGACATCCAGCTCAGAGAATCAAACACCACCACTACCACTATCACAATCATCCACTTGAGCTACAAATCTTCTCCACCATCTCTGTACGATTTTCAAAAATTTTTATTTATTCAGTTTATCTACTGACGATTTGAAGCTGGAATACAGAAAGATGGTTGGTCATAGGGTTAGCGACTGCATCCCGTATGCCCAACCACCGACTGCTTCCACGAGCTTTGTTTTGTAGTGTAGGAACAGATTGGACGAAAGCTAGGAGCGGCCAAACCAAAACATGACAGAAATCCATGAAGTTATTGACAAGTGGACTGAGTCATTTCGGTAGTTGTCGACTACCTGGTTGGGGTCCGCGAGATGGTAATAATCGATGGTTAGGGTCTGCGAGACGAAAGTTACCAATGCTTAGATGCCTTAAATGACATGACTCAAAATTGTTTGCAATGGCGCAAGTGCATCCATTCGTTGTGAGCTCTCAAATCCTAATCTCCTAGGCTCGTCAACACCCCTACCTTTTTCTTTCTAAACTTATCTCACTGAATCATACTTCTTGAATAATATCTTCTCATCCTAACCTCTCCGATTACTTCTAATACCCTTACTAACTCTTCTACTATTGGATTTGAATTGACAATTACATCTCTGTGCTGATGTGGTATGGCAACATGAACTGATGTACTTACGTACGAAGTTCTACGCTGCATCTGACTGACTCTGACTGACTGACTACCGTAGAAAATCAACTTGGTATAAAGAAACTCTGACCAGAACATATAATATGTGTCTACTAGTAATGTCATTTCCTCTGAAAGATTTTTATTTTAGACTCAATGAGTAGGAGTGATTGTTTGTAATAATGTTGTGAAATAAACTATGTTCACTTGCTTATATACTCTGATTTTCTATGCTGGCCTTGAATTGTGTATCGGGTTTCGACAAATATTGATTGAAAGAGATATATAGATCTACGGTACTGACATTTCTAGTTTTAGGAAATGATCTCCGAAAAATTTCAATAATGTTTATTTGATAGTAAACGAAAGCTTTGATGAAGATATGTCTCGGGTTTTCTGCCCTATCTATGTGAGACTTCACCTAGAGCATCACAGTCAAGCTGCTAAATCATGTCTGACTGAAGATACGATCACATTCAAGCGTGTTCAGAGCGTGTGAAGTAAGTTAATGACGAGTCATTCCGAACTCCATTAAAACCCTTTAACCCTTTCCCTATTACTAATATCTTATCATAGAACGCAAAGTGATCGCTTTTCGGTAATTTGTATTTTGAATAACAATCTAGGGTGTTAACATATCCCCAGAACTAATCATCTCAGAGGCCACTGCAAAAAAGTGCGATCAAATATACGCATAACAGTATTCTGTTTTTCACAATGAGTAGTTAATGACTGGGATACCTTACCTCAGCTTAACCAGCGGTATCAAACTGTTGGGGATGTTAGATCCCCAGAACTCGCTTGATAAATATCTTTACTTTGGATTTATTTCATGGAACGATCACTTGACCTTCACCTCACATTTCCTACCAGTAAAATCCTTGGCTGTGATTGGTTACTGTATCATTTTAGTGTGCTATTTTTGTGAATGTCCCAAGGACGTCTCTATAGAGTGTAAATAAACGCAATTTGAGTGCTTGGATTCATTGTGTGCTGGCTGGGTGTTTGTAGAATACAATTTCCACGCTATATCAAGACTTCCTGCTATTACAATTGGGTCAAGGGATCACAATAGGTTACCTGAACACTGGTTCATCGTTTGGTTCTCGTTATTCGACTAAGGTGAACCCTTAATAGTTTTAAGCATACCTAGAGACAAGTGTAACACAACCACATCAATAAACTTTTCCCAATAGAAGCAAGATCCTTACTAGGAAACAATCTGCAAGGACGAGCACACGACGCATGATCTATTATCCTTATTACTGAAAATGTAATTGTATGATTTCAGACATGTATGCATATGCATAATTTTCATCCATTTCAACAGGGATGTCCACTTTCTTCATTCTTGATTAACTTTGTCGTAGACATCCTCTTAGAGTTAACATTATCCTCGTCAGATTTTTCAGGAGTAGACCTTCTACCAGGAGGATCGCTTGCTGACCTAAAATATGCCGATGACATAGTCCTATTTGTTGAAGACGCTGACAAAATGCAGAGTCTTCTGACCACCCTAAGCAACAATGCAAGCATGTTCGGGATGTGGTTCTCACCGTCGTAATACAAAATGTTGCTTCAAGACGGAGTTGCGTCGGCACCTGAACTAGTGATAGGGAGTGAAGTAGTCAAACGTGTTGATCACTTCACTTATCTGGGGAGTCTCATCAGCGCTGATAGCCTGGTGACTGACGAAATCTCAGCTCGGATACAGAAGGCTCGATTCGCTTTTGCCAACATGAACTGATGTACATACGTACGAAGTTCTACGTTGCAACTGACCGACTGAATGACTATATGTGAACTTCATTTCATCAATCTGAAGTTTTATGCTATTGATGTTATTGTTCAAAAGAAGAACCACGATAGCTCCACAACCAAAACATCCAGCTCAGAGAATGAAACTCCACTGCAGTTATTATATCCAGTTTTAAGTAGATATGTTGTAAAAATCTTTAACATATTGCTAATTCAAACGATAAATATTATTCATACCTGACATAAAATTACTTGACCATAATTCAATTTTTTGCACTGGCAAATACCGATGCAATGATGTTGAATACTCTGAACAGAAATAAGTACCCAAATCATTAACTGTCAATGAGTGAATTTTTAAGTGGGAATTTGTTTGTCCATTGATTTGTAAGCCAGGCAAACGATACCACACTATATGTGTATTATTTGTAAGCAATTGAGATCCTGTTGGATTGCATGTCAATGTTAACGGTTCGCCGAGAACACCTTCAATAATTTGAGTTTCTTTACGTTCATAGACAAATGATTCATAAACTATCATACAGAAGAGAGAGATAGAGAGAACAAACAAAGCATGAATAATTTTCGGAATACGGTTAAACAGTATCATAGTGATAAGTTACATAGTTGAATGGCCATTTTCAGGATTTAATCAGAGGACATAAATTGAAGAATGAGGGATAGGGGTTCTGTTTTATTGCTAGGTGGTTCATTCATATCAATATATATTATCAGCCTATGGAATTATAAAAATAGTCTTTAAAACTAATTTTATTTTGAATCAACAAGTGCCTTATCGGCCGACCGAAGTTCCTGTCTTTGATTCCTAAGAGTAGCGGAAGTCTTAGACACGCCCTGTTGATAAGTGTCATACCAAGACGAAAGGACCGTTCACTGCTTCCAGGTCTCTAATGGCAGTCTAAGAATGATCAACTCATGAATACACAGCAACTCAACAATCTCCACAACCCTTATAACACTAGGCTATGGTAAAGAATTGTAGGGGGATGTTAGATCCCCAGAACTCGCATGATAAATATATTTATTTCGGATTTATTTGATGGGCTGATCAGTTGACCTTGAGATCACATTTTTCACCAGGGAAATCCGTGGCTGTGATTGGTTACTGTGTTATTTTAGTACGCTGTTTGTGTGACTCTAACAAGGACGTCTCTATGGAGTATACATAAAAGCGATTTGTGTGTTTTAATTGATTGTGTGCTTGCTGGGTACAATTGGATCAAGGGATCATAATAGCCTACCCTAGATGCTGGTTCATTGTTTTGTTCTCGTAATTCGATCAAGGTGAACCCGTAATAGTTTTAAGCATACCTAGAGACGAGCATAACATGAATACAGTTATTTAACTTTCTTTTTGTTTGTTGAAAATTTGTGACAATTAGTTTCGAAAGTTTCTTTCAAAAATTATCATGTTCTGAAAGCTTTGTATCATTAAAAATGTGTTAGATAAATGTTTTACAAAGTTATTTCATTTTTTAGATAACGCAAATGGATTTTATGTGAAAATTCACGGAGTCCTAGTGAGAAGACGTGAACAGTGGTTTTAAACCGGTTAGGTATAGGCAGTAACTACCAAAGGCAGTAT